TTGTGTGTTTTTAACTTCATTTTGACTCACAAGTTATTCACTCTTGTTTTTAAGTGTTGTTCTTTTTGCTTTTTGGCACCTGTGCTGGGACTGAAGTGAGATTTAGAACCTCTTGGCTGGTCGACCTTTCCAGGGTCAGTGGCCTTTCTTCACAGTGGCAGCTCGGAACGTTTCTCCTTGCAGCCCGGAGGGTGGGTGTTCTCTGCACAGGCAGCCTGGTGAGCATTCTAGGAGGGAGAGCAGCTGAAGAGCCGTGAGTCAGCCCGCGGTCAGCCCCTTATACCCCTGCTGCCTCTGCACTTCACTGTTGCTGTCCCTGAATGCTGACAGATCAAGCCATCAGCTTGCTCCAGCTGATTCAGGCTCCCCGCCCTCACCTATTCCTACTGTGGACAAAAAAGGGGCCACATACTAAACCTGACAAGCTCAGGGGAGGCCTGCATGGCAGACCTTACAAACTCAGAGACCGAAAGTAACCACACAGGATGGTCTGAACATAAAAATTCCTAACTAAAATCAGGTCATGGCGGGTAGTCATGTCCTAGGCCTTGAAGCGCCCTTGACAAAGGTCGGTGTTTACCTTAAGTGAGCCTGTTCTATTGTCTTTGCATCTAGGATAACATACCTTTGAAATATCAGAGTAATCTCTTCTTCCAGACCCTTTAAGACACAACCACTGGCACCAGAGCACAGACCACAGAACCCCTCATTGTTATCATGTTCCTTGAAGACCATCTCTTATGTGCTGTAAATGTTAATTATTAACTATCCTGTATCCACCAATGTTAAAAGAAGTGTGTGTCTATTTTGCCTTTTTATCCAATCCCAAAGATCCTCCCCTGCTTCGCTCTCTCCCACCCGCTTAATCTACCTCTAGTGGATTTCATGTAACTCTCCTTACTTCTCCTTTTATTCTAATGTATAAAATAAGCTGCAGCACTGCCATTCTCCAGAGCATTTTCTCATCCATTGGTATTTTGCTTCCCAGCAACTGTTGTCAGTTTGGCTCAAATACACTCATAAAAATTCTCTATAGGTTTGGACGTTTCTTACCTCGAAACTGCCTTCTGCCCTTGCCACAGGAAGGGTGCTCTTAGTCCTTTCTGGACATTATCCCTCTATCCAGCCATCTACTTTTCTAATTTCCCCTCCATTCAGTTTTTATGTTATTGGTTTGTCGGAAAAGTCATGACGCATTTTTGCAACGAAAAACAAAAATACGTCACGACTTTTCCGACAACCCAATATTATTAACCCCTCCATTCTGCTACCCTTTGGCTGCATAGATGAGGAAACTGGGTATGGACAATTCAGTCTGCTCCCCTGGTAAATAACACATTAGGCCCAGATTATGATGAAGGGTTTTCCTGAACAGTATGTGTCTGGTGAGATCCTTACCTGATCCTGCCCCCGGGGCACCTGAGGGAAAGTGGCTGACTGTGTACAAACTGAAGGTTTGGTCAGGGAGGCTTGAGGCTGGGTTTTGTAGGGGAGGAAAAATAATTTTCCCTTTTACCCTTCTAGGTTCTTGGCTGAGACATCCCTTCTCCCCCCATAATTAAAGATCAACAGGACAAAAGCACAGAAGTTTAATAACATGTATGTACCTCCCATATACATGAATACATGAAAGAGACCCAAGAAACCTGAGTAAGTCCCAGAAATGGTCCAAGCCATCACCTTAAATACCTTCTTCAGCTAAAGACAAAAGACGGGAGTTGAGGGGGGAGCCAGTTAATGACAGGTGATCAGGCAAAGCACAGTAAACAAGGGTAAAGTTGTTACATGTTGTTAAGGCAAAAAGATGAGAAAAGTCCAGTGTGAACCCACTTAAATATAAAACTCAACCCTCTTGACTCAGTTTTTACTTCCTGCACTCGTATCCTATTTTAATTTGGTGGGCAAGCATTTTACACTTCACACACACACACACACACACACACACACACACACACACACACACACACACACACACACACACAAGCAAAGGCCTTCAGAGTTAGGTCCCCAGCCCAACAGGCCCAGGGGAAGAATCGATGGAGGAAGGAGAGAAGCCAAGGAAGGTGGCTCCCATTCACTGAGTGTCTAGCAAGAGAAGCACGGTCAGCATTCTGTGGAGGGCCTCTGTTAAGTTTAGCTGCTGGGGTGGGGTCTTTGTGAGAGCCAGGCCTATAGTAGGAAAGAGACATCAGCAGCCCGCTATGCAGGGGTGCCCCCCACTCTGATCAGGCCTCTGCCACTTCCTTCACCTCATGCATCAGCACAGAATTCCAGCTTGGCATGTGGTTGGTGAACCAAGCAGCTGATGAGAAAGACCACAAAGTCAAAAGCATTTTTCTCTGTTTTCCATCTTACCCTTTTTTCTTCCAATAACTTTTTCATTGAGTCTATTTGTCATATAATATATAAATTTAAGGTGTACAATTATTCATTTAATACATGTCTATATTGTTAATATGATTGCCATTGTAGCGATATTTAGCACCTCTATCACATTACATAATTATCCTTTCTTTTCAGTGGTTGGATATTTTTTTCCGATTTTAAAATTACCATTTTCTTTGAGGAGCATGAGCACCTGAGAAATACACAAAAATTTAAAGGAGAAATAAAAATTATCCACAATTCCACCACACACAAATACACAAAAATATTAACTGTGTTTCGGACTGAGGCCGAGTTGTTCCAGACTGAGGCCGAGTTGTTCCAAGATTTGTGCGTGAGAAGTCACAAGCCCAAAGAACAGGTGGCTGAGTGCGAGGCATAGGTTTATTGAGACTTATAGACCGGAGCGAGCCTCCGGGGGCGGCCGGCTGAAGGAGTGGTGATCTGCACACAGGCAGAGAAGAAGCAAGATTATATAGGTTCAGCAAAACAAAAAGCATCCCATGGGAGAAATCATCTGGCAGGCCCTGCAGGCCTGCTCCCTTGCACACAGTGTCCCAAGAAGCTGGGGGACCTTGACTGCCTGCTAGCTTATCTGCCTGTGGGCCAGGTCCCTACACTGGTTTTCTCCTTGTTTTTTAATTGTCAAAGGTTCAGAAGTAGTCAAAGTAAAACCAGTGAATCACTGAAGTAGTAATTGGTAAAAATGTATTGTGCACACACCAAAAATACAGTTTGCAAGCTGAGAGCACTCAGGCCAAAATATGGAACGAGGCTCAGGTATATACAGTTACAAAGCAGCTTATACAGTGAGAAAGCAGTATCTTCACAGTGATTGGTAATTAAACTAACATACTGGCTAAACTGGTTTTATCTGCTCAGGGAAACTCCAAGGTTGGTCTCCATTTGCTTTTGATTTTAACATATTTTTTGCTTTTGTTTTTACAAAATTTAATCATGCAAATGTTTTTGTTATCTTTTTCATTTAACATTGAAAGCATATCCCCACCAATATTTGCCCACGACATAATTTGTAATTGCTGCAAAGTACTTTTTAAAAATATGCAAATATGTGATTTTTTTTTTTTTGCCATTTGTTTTTTCCATTTTTTGTTTTTGTGATGGACATCCCTACAGCTAAGTCTTTTTATAAATCAACGATAACTGCCACAGGACAAATTCTTTGAATTGGAATGAATGAGTCAAGCTATGCACAATTGTCAAGTTTTTGAATCATATTTCTAAATAATCCTTGTTAAAAAAAAAGTCCTAAAATGGAGTTGCTTATGCTAAGCCCCCCATCACCAAACCGAGACTTAATTATAGTTTTGGATCTCCCAGAAATGAAATCTTAAACCAGTCAGTCAGGAATCACATGATCAGCACTGGTTAGGTAATCTGCCTGGTAGGCCTATCATCCCAAAAAGGAAAGTGACTTTGCAACAACCAACCCATTTTTTGCCTAGTATAACTTTCTTGTTCCCCCTCCCTTCTGCCTAGAAAAGTCTTTTGGAGCTCCTTTCTATCTGCTAGATTGGGTGCTGCCTGATTTGAAACGATTTTTGCTCAAATAAACTCAAAGTTTTTAATATGCCTCAGTGTATCTTTTAACACCCTCCAGAAAAGCTTTGCTGTAGAATCCTTATCTGCAGTGTATGGGAGTACTTGTTTTCCTAGCCTCTGACAACAGAGTGTTATACTTTTTCTTTTTGCCTTTAAATTTTTTTCAATTACAGTTGACATAATATTGTATTCAAGTGTACAACATAGTATTAGATATTTATGTACCTTATGATGTGCTCCCCGCCTAAGTCCAGTACCCATCTGACACCGTACATAGTTATTACAATATTACTGACTATATTCTCTATGCTGTATTTTACATCCCTGTGATAATTATGTAACCGCCAATTTGTAATTTTTTTAATTTTATTTTTTATTTTTTGGGGGAACAGTGTGTTTTTCCAGGACCCATCAGCTCTAAGTCGAGTAGTTGTTTCAATCTAGTTGTGGAGAGCGCAGCTCAGCAGCAGCTCAGCAGCAGCTCGGCGGCTCATGTGGGGTTCGAACCAGCAACCTTGGTGTTGTGAGCACTGCACTCTAACCAGCTGAGCTAACTGGCTGCCCCTCAATTTGTAATTCTTAATCCTTTCACCTATTCCACCCAGTCTTCCAATCCCTCTCCCTTTTTGCTGGTTTAATAGGTGAAAATAATTTACATACAATTTTGCATTTCTTTGATTAAGTTTGAGTGTGGCTATTGATCACATTGTCTGTTTGTCAGTGCCTGTTCACATCTTTTGCCTATATTGTTTGGGTGACATTTGTTTTCTTCTTAATTTAAGAGCTCTTTACATGTAGGGGCATTTGTTTTATAACGTGTAAGGAAACCCTGGCTGGAAGTTCAAATCTCAGGCTACAAGGCGACCCTTAGGCATCTTAAGCCTGATGGCGGGTCGGAGGGCTTCAGTGAAGACCACTAGTAGGCAAGAAAAGTACAGCAAGCCTCTTGCTCGCGGTCCAGCCGGAGTGCCAGGCAGTCCGCGCCTGGCGCCGACTGGCGGCCGCAGTGCGCAGGAACGGAAGCCGGGCCGCCCTTCCCCCACCTGCTTCCGGCTGCGACTCAGTTCTCCCGCCTCCGCCTCCGTCGCGGCTCGTGGTTGTCCCGCCATGGCTCTGTCGCGGGGTCTTCCCCGGGAGCTGGCCGAGGCCGTTGCCGGGGGCCGGGTGCTGGTGGTGGGCGCGGGCGGCATTGGCTGCGAGCTCCTCAAGAACCTCGTGCTCACCGGCTTCTCTCACATCGACCTGGTAAGAGCCAGGCGTGCGCGCGGGCTGAATGGCGGGCCGTGGTGCCGGGGCCCGGGGGTCGGAACCCAAGTTGGGGGGCCGTGGCAGGCCAAGAGGCCCCGGGGTCCCGGCCGAAGAGAGGGAGCTCTTCGGCAGGGATGGAGCAGGCCTCGCCGCACGCTGGGCCCGCTCGGGGCGTTGAGGAGGCCGCGCGGGCCCGGGTCTTCCGGGCGGCCCGCGGCGGGGCGGCCCCCGCCTCCCGGGCAGCGCCAATTTGTGGCGGCTCTACGGTGTGGAAGCGGCCTCTTGTCTTTTCGCTTTAGAGCAGTTCCTGGCTTTAATGGGAGGCAGGAGGTGATTGAGTCCCCAGTGGATGTTGTGACTGTTGAATTGGAGTCTCCCTTAACTAAGAATGATCCAGAGCAGAGTGTGGCGGTCATAGCATCCAGTTGAGCGCTTGTCCGGATCCTGGCGAGGTCTGGAGCGGTTTACTTGGCGTTACCACTTTTAATCTTCACTACTACTTGTAAGGTTGCAAACGCTATTTTCATCACGTTTTGTTTTTAACAGATGGAAAGGAAAGGGAGATGCAGTGGGGTTTAGTAACTTACCTTTGGGTCACGAAACAAGTGGCAGCACTCCTTTTGGGGCTCGCGCTTTTCTGTTCTGGGTACTGTTTGCGTGACTGTCATTGTTACTACCATGTACACTCGCTTATTTCATAAAAAACTTTACGATCTTTTGCGTTGGTGTACAGTGACTAATTTAAAATCAAATTGTTTCCATTAAAGTAAACTTTAGAGATTGGAGATGTTGCCTAGAATTGGATGTAGTTTGAAGTGTCTTAAGGTCCAGGGGAAACATGAAGTGAAAAAAATGTAGAGGTGGCTAACTGAACTAATAAATGAACGATTGGGGGAACAGAATTTACACATTTTTCCTTTGGCTTTTATAGGGTTAGCCTTCCCATTCGTTCCATACCACAAATCCAAATGTGGTTGTGCATTAGCTGAAAACGACCGATACTTATTTAAAAGAACCGTTTTGTAATAGACAAGACCGTGAATTTGGGCACCTGAAAAACAAATGCTGATCCTTTTTTATTTGGTTTAATTTTTGTAGTAAAGTTAAAAATTACAAATAAGTGTTTAGGTGGTGGGTTATGTTTTGATGATTTTCATAAATTACAACCAAAACCATTAAGACATTTCACAATTAGAACATTTGATTACTCTTCATATAAATTTATTGAAATGGAATGAAAATGGCTTTAGTCATTATTTTCTTCCCTTATATTTACTTTTAAGCAGCAATGAGATAAGACTTAAAAAGTGGTATTTTTTAAACCTGTATAGAAGTTTTCCTTCACAGCCCTCAGGAAATAATTATAAATGAAATTGTGTATGTGTGAAGATTTTTGAATTAAAGAGATTAGCAAAAAGTCAATGAATTTGTTTGCCAAGTAGCATTTAAGAAAAAGAACAGGGCACAGTTAAATCCAATGTTGGATTCAAAAGAGTAATTAATTAGATAGATGAATTATATAATGTATTTTCAGTAAATACACTTATAAATTTATGCCATATAGGGAATTTCCTAACATATTTGCCAGGATGATTGAACAACAACAAAAAAACATCCTTTCTAAAATATTTTTGAGAACGTTATCTCTGAAGTTAAATCTTGGTTTTTAAAAAAATGTATTAAATTATCATTTTAATAATTTTGGTATTGATCAAAAAGCATTTTCTCCACTAATGTAGCAAATATCAAAAGTTCTGGGTTATGGATACAGAAAAAGTGGTATTGCTTAAACATACCAGAAAATTTGTGATTTATCTGAGTTTTATGCATTTGTAGATTGATCTGGATACTATTGATGTCAGCAACCTCAACAGGCAGTTTTTGTTTCAAAAGAAACATGTTGGAAGATCAAAGGCCCAGGTAACTATTTCCCATACCATTTCTATTTATTCATTTATATTTCTACCCTTTGATGGACCTTCTATTTATGGTATCAGATTAATTTGGCCTCTAGTAGGAAGGAGAATGTGGAGGAAGCCATCTCTTTAGCTGAGGGGTTGTGAAGAATAAAAGGGATATGTTGAGTAAAAGACTACAGATTTCCTCCTTTTTTGATATACAGAGGAAATGGCAGTGCTCTACCGGATCCTGTAAATGGTGTCTCTTATTTGAATTTATGATTGTTTGCTTAGGATGAACCTTTTGTTCCTACGTTCCCTAGAGGTTTGCTGCTGCTATGTTTGGGGGCAAGAGAAGCTACAGCCCTTTTGCCGATGTCCCTTTTAAAAGAAGACTGCATCCCCTGGTTCTGGCCTCTAGCCACCCTGACCTTTTTTTAGTTCTTTGAATGTTCCATTTTGATTCAGGGTCTTACAACATCTTTTCCCTTGCTTTTTCCCCCCAGCCCTTTTGGCAAAATCCCACGCTTTTGTCCATTTGGCTCCCTTGTTTAAGGGTACTTTCCTGTACCTCTTAGACTAAATCAGATCTTCCTCTCATATAACAACCTCTACTTTTTCTGTGTATCATTTATTATAGTTTGTGATTATATTTACATAGATGTTTATTTGATTAATGTTACTTTTGCTCACCAAGTGCCTTATACAGATCCTGGTACATAGAAGATGCTCAGTATATATTTGTTGAATGAATGAATGAATGACACTTGGTTACTGTATTTTATATTTTTGCTGAAGCTTTCCATTCTTGAAGTGTTTATGGGAGTGGGGTGGCTCTCCTGCTATTTTATAAATATGTGTATATAGCTTAATTTTAATGAAATTTTGTCACATTTTAATATTTATTTTTTAATATCAGTAAGATATCATGTAAATTGTTGAAACAACAGTATTGTCTGCCATAAATAGATTTGAAATGCAGGTAGAAATGTTGTAGTAATTTAGTGTTGTTTGTTTTTCCAGGTTGCCAAAGAAAGTGTACTGCAGTTTTACCCGAAAGCTAATATCGTAGCCTACCATGACAGCATTATGAAGTATGCTCCAAATATTATGTTGCAAAATTGTTTGTTGTAGATTTTTAACTACTTTTAAAGTATAATGTATTTTTATTAGCCAAATATATGCGCTTGAAGTCATTCTGCTTTTTTAAAACGATTTTTTCTACAATACTTGAAATGTACAATAGTTGGTGCCCACATAAGTTAATTGGCATTCTGTAACAGTTATATATATGGTTTGAATGATTTAGGTAAGAGGTGAGATATTTTAATACTTTTAATAAATAAGTTACTTGGAAATTTAATAAAGAATCTTATATTGTTTTAAATAACAAAATATTCTAAACTATGAAAAAATCCTTACATGTGATGATTCAGACTTTTCTAAATATAGTGCTCTCATTCTCATTGATTTCAGCTGTGGTCTTTTTCATTTTAAAAGGTTCTTTCCTGAAATAATTTGTTTTTTAGGACTGTGACTTCTGTAATATAACACTGGGGATTGTGATGGGGCAGTAGTTTTGACAGTATATAAATATGCTCTGATCTCAGCAAAGATAAATAGAGTAAATATATAATTTTGGAAGTGTTGGGGCAGAGGGCCTCAGTTATCCTTTATCTATAGTTGTCTAGCTCACAAGTAAGTGGTATTAAAAATAATGAGTTCTTATTTGAGGTCTGGAATTAGAGAAAGTCTTGTACTTTCTCAGAAAGTTTGTATCTCCATCCTTTTTATTCTCTGGATGTTTGCTTTACAAGCCTGCCTGTAGCCCTGTAACCCCCTTACCCTGTGTTGCTTTCCCAGTGCTGCTAAAAGCGGGGACTCTAGGGGCCTGAACCCTTCCTGATCCTAACCATGTGAGGTGAAGCCAGAGGCCAGCAGATCCTGGGAATGTGTTCCTTGTATGTTCCCAGGCACTCGGTGCCCGGAGAAGGCCTGGTGGGACTAGTGAAGTCATGCCATCTTTCTGCTAGTTTGAAATGTTGCTCTTGTGCCCTAGGTAGCTGGCCAACAAGGATGTGTAGCCACTTGTAGGGACTGGGGGAAGTAATTTCTTTAAAATCTGCTTATGGTGTTTAGAAAAAGTCAAACCTGTCTAAGTGGTAGAGACCTCTAATATATCAATTATTTTTGCACTAGTACTTTAATATGCATTTTAGGTTTCTGTTATTAATGTGAAGATTATGTGTAAGGCAGGTTGTTTTGGTGACCTTTTTTTGTTTTGCTTTGTAGCCCTGACTATAATGTGGAATTTTTCCGAAAATTTATATTGGTTATGAATGCTTTAGATAACAGAGGTGAGATTATTTTAATATTTTTAATTTCTTCCCCCATAAGAAGGCTGTTTACACATTTAGTATTAATTAAAATATTTCTTTACAACTTAGAAGTTAAAGATCTAAAGGGAAGTAAGATCAGGTTTAAATCTTGCTAAACGATTATAATTTTAACTAGAACTGGTTCCAGGCAGGAATTTATCTATCGTACTCTGCTGTTTTATCAAAAGTGTGAATATGAGGGAACTTAAAATACTAAAGAGTGTGACAGCATAGGGTGTGTGCATGGGTGCCATGAAT